TGTATAACTTCTTCACTCACTCATTCACTCACTCTCTCTTACTTACTCTCAGACTAACTGGGAGTATGTTTAGTACACTTTAAATTTAGGTAGGTGAGGCGAAGGGCCGCATGCATCTCAGACACTGCTGATCGCCGTCAACATAATCTCTTGACAGAGTAATTACGGGAAGCTTTCATGCCTTTTGAGTTTGTCTGCTCTCACTGGCCATCTGTTTTGTGCACCCCACCCCCACCTCCGCCTCCTACCTGCAAGACCAACGTACACACCTATTACATTTGTTTAATATTGTCAGGAGGGCTACTCTGTATGCTTGACAAACATTAATGTTAAATTCATGCTTTAAAAAGAATAACATAGCAGTGTGTATTTTCACCTTTAATAATTTTCATATACACCAACTTGATTTGGAATTGGATTTGCGAGTGTAAATCATGGTTTCAACTCAGAGTTTAACAAAGACTAGTCTCATACTTTTTAATTAATAAAAACAAATCAGCACTGTATTTAAATGTTGTTGACACAGTGGAACCCCTTGCAAGTGTAATGAACTAATATTAAATATAAATTAAATATTTGAGATTAAGGTTGTGATTACTGAACATGCTCTGTGGGCATCTCATATACTACTCCCGTTCTACCAAGTGCCTCAGGCACCACGTTGGAGACCTGTGGTTTAAATAAAGTAGAGAAGAAAAAACGTATTTACACCCTTTTTCATGTAAAGTTGAAATCAACATTTGGAGGTACCCTGTCGTGCAAATGTAAAAAAGTGGTTTCAGGCATAACTGTGATGTTAGAAATTAATTAAAATTTTCATCGTGACATAGTTTGATAGTTTTTAGTGTGAGATTTACGTTCCAGAGTCAAGTGCACAAAGGCAGGCATGTAGACACTTCACTACTGTCTGCAGTCAGAAACAGCCATCATTCTCATAATCACAACCTCCACCTTCATCTGTTCATACCATCTTCTCATGCTGCGAACCTGGCAAAAAATTTGTGCACACTTGTATCTCGCCATGAACTTTGTGTGACAGAGAAAGAAATGCAAACCGGTTACCTCCACTCTTGCCATGGCAACGGACGCGACAAGAAAAGCGATCCTGTACCTGTGTATCTGTCTCCCTAATGGTCTGTGTGTTAGTGTAACAAGATCTGTAAAAACTCCCCTCAATGACATTTTAGATCCCCCACTGTAACTGACCTGGGCTGGGGAGTCACAAGTAGGATTTAGGTGAGTACTGAGCCTTCTCTCAGGTTCCTGTTCCCCTTTTCCTAATGAATTCAACCATAAGAAGACTTGAGATGAGGCCCCCTTTTTCCATATGGCCAGGATATTATTTACTCTTGTATGAGCTGTGTAAAATCTCATTAATTCAAAAGAAATATATACTTTCCTCACATCATGTATGTTTGTAAAATCTTTCTAAATAGATGCTCTTACTCATGTTTTTGATTTAACATACAAATGAGATTGTATAGTGTGTTCACCTTTTTCCTTTTGGGAAGAAAAGCTCTCATTGAGAATGCTGTGGGGTGACTGCTGAAGTGTCCTGCATTATAGCACCTTGCAGCTTCACTGTTGGACTGCACCACTCGGACCACTCCTAACTCTCCTATTCCCTCTGCTGGGAAAGGCAGATATTACACACCCTAAACTGAGTACAGAACATAGACCACAGTAATTACTTTTATGTTAAGCATCATGTCTGTATTTAGAGCCCGAGATGACCCATGTTGTGTCCAGGCTTCATTCCAGTCTGCTGCTTTCTCTGGGAAGGCCTAGTCTAGGTGAGAGCCTCGCTGACACCCCTCTGTATGAAATATCAATGTGAATGACTCACTCCCAAGTTTTGGTGTCAATCATCATCGCAAATGCCAAACCCATTATCACCAAATCTTTTGAAGAAGTTGTTTTGTCCATCTGGTGGCAGAAGCAGCAGGCTTTTTTGAAAGAGAGGGAAGGTTTTCACAACATTCAGGGCTTTTGAAGAAGCTTGTTTTCCCTCAGGGTGAGGGGACTAGATTTTCAATTTACCTTATAAATGACCTTGTAAACATCCAGTTCTACATTTTTGGTTGCACACACTTAATTTTCTTGCTTAGTTTATTTGGTGAGTGAGTGAAAGGGTTGAAACTTGTATTAAACCCATGAAGATGGACAGTGTCTATGCTCAGTACAGCACAAATGTGAATGAATATACAGTATTTTTTATGTCCAACCAACCGCCTCTAAGAATATTGAACATCAGTGTTTTATCATTTGCACATAATTTGACATAAATAAGATTTACCTTTGTTCTGTTGGCCACAGCTTCCTCAAGATGTGACAAAACATTGTTGTGAGAAGTGCTGCACACTCCAGTATAGGACTAGTTTGTCTCCTGGTTGCTTGTGTCGACTGTTTCGATAAAAGCCAGCCTACTTTGCTGTTTGTGTTTCTGTTTTCGTTTTCCTTTTTTGTATTGAATAGCACAACAGGCAAGTTCATTATGCGTGTGACTCATCCCACTAGCCCACACCCCCTCCCCATCTGCTGCTGTGCGCTGGAAAGGAGAGGGAACCGCCATTGATCACTTCTTCCCTCACACATGCACACACACACCCCACCTTCAACGTCACTATCGATCGACATGTTTAATGTTTTTGTGGGGAATAGCTGGCATTTCCTTTTGTGTCATTTTACATCTGTTCCCTACCATTTGCTGACATTATGATAAATCACAGAGCAGAAATTTGAAAAAAAAAGTAAAGCTTAATCCAACAAATTATTTAAACAATCTCAGACTGTACAGTCAGTGCATGGCTGCCATTTGTTTTTGTAGTAGTGGCAGTCTAGAAACATATAAGGAAATATGCCTGGACAGGAGATTATTTTTCTGCTTTGCAAGTGTTAACCCATGAATACAGCTGAGGTTACAGCTACCTGACTAACAACAAAGATGCTGTGGCAGAATGGTTGGCAGGTATTGGACATTTCCTTGAGAAAACATTTTCCCACTCCCTCCTTGTCATGATATGATTAATAAAAAAAAAACAAAGGTGTTAAGGCAGTTAATAAATTCCTGTAACACACTACAACAGTGACATGCAAATACAAAATATTCTGAAGCAGTTAATTACACATTTATTAACATGCTGATTCATTAATACAAAGTGTGTGCTACACAATTCAGGATAAAGATATCCTTTTTCAGCCTTCACAAAAGACACACAGTGAGAGCTAACATCCAATATTTTCAATTTTTAAATAATATGTTAAAAACATAGAAAAAATTATACATTTTAAACCAACATCTAACCTTATTAAAAAAGTTATTGGTAAAAATACATCGTAGATATGGTGCCTCATACCTCTACCGAGCTAACCGGGCGCCCGGTATTTACATTTTTAAGGGAAAAATTAAGTTATTGGGGGCGTTTTTAATACATATTTTTCCCAATCCATGTGTGCCGTAGTGGGCAACGGACACGGAAAGTATAATTTTTGCTTACAGGTTCAATGTGGAGGATTTAGTGACATCTAGTGGTGTAGTTGCAGATTGGAACTCACTCGCTTCTCCCTACCTTACCAAGCGCAAGGGAGAAACTACAATGCTTAATTAATCAGAGCCGCAAGATCAGGAAAAGAAGCCCCTGAATTTTTAGAAGTAGCACAAGTTGAGTGAGATGCCTCAGTCACAGTCAGGGCAGCATGTGAAAGGAAAAACTCCCTCCCTCACTACTCTGGTGGTGTTTCAGATCAACAAGTGTCCTCGTTAACTGGTGACCTTAGGCTGAATGTGTCCATGGTGTCTTGAAGTGATGGCGTTGACTGCGCCTATGCCACATTCACGTCATATGGGATGTACAAGCAGTGTATATGACCTTTATCTTATCAGATAATCTCATGGATTGAATTGAAAGAGAGTGTTGGGTGATTACAGAGTTGGTTGTGTGAGGATTAAAATGCTGAGCATTAACATAATAACACCACGTCTGAATGAATTTTGGTTCAGTCGCACTGAATGATGGTTTTTGGCTGTTGTGAAGCATCCATATTTATTTGGTTTTCAGGCACTCCTTTAACACATTTCACATTACACATAGTTGGATTCACAGTTCACATAAAAATATTGATTAGAACGGCTTCAACTGATTTCAGATATTGATTCTGAAATAACAATGTTTAGTTCTGGTGATAGTTGAAGCCATCAAACCTGAGACCTAAGTAAGGATAAATAATGATTTTGTAGGTCTACAGAAACACTGCTGTGGGACTGTGGGACAAGATAAAGTGATGAAAATAATTAGCATTTGCTAGAACTTGCAAGACATTATGGGTAATTTAAAGAATGATTAAACAAATGCTGGTCCTGTCATGTTTGTGTCAGTAGAGTTTTTTTTCCTTTTTACAGATGAACTGTTCCCATAATTAATTTTTAATCTGTCAGCCTTTTAAAAAGCAAAGGGCAGAACAAAATAACAACGTAAAAACAACTCGGAGAGGATGTTTAACTTCATGCCTCTCATACAGGAATTTGTAGCTATTAAGCAGAATATTGTAATAATATATGTTCATTAAGCATTTTATCATCAGTCCAGACATAATTTTCATAGTATTAACTTTGAAACAATTGGCTAGGAACTAAGGATGCAAACTATTTAGTATAATTTGGCAGTCACGCAAGATTTACACTTAAAGTATGAGCATCACATTGCCATTTTTCAACTACGAAGACAACCCTCTTCATCAATTCAACCTATATATTGAGCCTTACCTTAAACTTACAGGCAATCTGCAATTTTAAATTGATTTCAGCTTTAAAATAGTACTTTTAATTACCCTGAGATAAGATAGATTCAGAAACATCTGATGACACTTGTGCACCACTGTGACTTAAACACTTAAATGAAGAATTAACATTGTGATGATAAGATGATGATGATGATGATGATTAATAGTTTTGAGTCGTGGTGTGAGAAGAATGTGTTGTTTTCTTGCTTTCTCGCATGTAGGTGGTCCTGGACATGACATTTGGAGGTGGTGGTCATACCAAAGCAATACTGAATCTGGTTCCTGAAGTCACAGTCCTGGCCTTAGACCGAGATCCTACAGCAGTTACTCTGGCCAAGCAGTTAGCCAAGGAACACTCGTAAGTGATTTATTGAAAAATGTCAACTAGACTAAAACACAAGTTAAAGCTTATGTTATAAGCTGTCTAGACAAATGTTTATACTATATCATGTTTTTGCCATACATTTGTATAGTCACAGCTGACAGCTTGACCATTTTGAGCAGTGTTTGGTTTGTGGTCATTATTTCTTAAAACGTATGTGTTTGTGATATAGTATTGCAGTTCTCCCTGTATTTCTCAGTTCTTGCCTGAGCCTGATCAAATACTCCTCCCCAAGATACAGCCCCTGAGTTTCACCATCCAATCAAATCCATTCCTCCTTCTTAACTTAAAGCTTTTCTCCCCCCACGCAAAGCTGGTGGGCCCGGCATGTCATTTGTCAGAGTAAGGGCCCACGCCTGCAGTGTGAGGGAGATGCTGCCTCCCACGGAGGATCTATAAGATATGAAGGGGGGTAGAGAGAAGCCTAGAGAAGTTAAGAAGTGGAGAGAGAGAGATTAAAAAAAGCTAATGAAAACATGAGAGTGAGAGAACAGGGAGACACGAGGACACAATGCCAGGGTGAGAGGGAGTTTGTGTGTGCGTGTGTGTGTGTGCATGAGCAAGGCGCGGGAGGATGAAAATGAGATGTTCCTAAGACCATGGCGTGGGAAGGAATCCTTTTACGTAGATTCTGGGGAAACCTCTCTCAAGGGAATCTGCCAGAGCAATGTGCCTGTGAGCAGGGAATGACAATTAAGAGAGAGAGAGAGAATGAGAACACTGTATTCTGTCAGCAGCAATATACCCCTGCTGTAAACTCTTCCACGCCTACTCGTGATGCAAGTTGAGAGAAGCTAGAGAAATCTAGCAATTAACCAATATTATTGGAAGCCTGAGTAAAAGACCCTGGCAGCCTACGCAGTGCATCCACACAACAGGGTTAGAGGGTTTTCTCTCTCCTCTGCACTCTCATGTCTTGAGGAAAGTATAACCTCAATGCAAACTGTTGAGTGTTGGTGTGAATCTGAACCCACATTCACAGAACAAAAAGACTCATTTCACCCCCCTAACGTTTATTTAAAAGCATTAAGCTTATGAAAGTAAGCCTCTGTTCCCTGAATGATATTCACCTATGTCTTTAATGGGATTTGTCTCCGGCATGTTGAGCCTTGCTATTCTCTGCTTTTCACCATTCTTGTTGTTGCTATGACTTCCCTGCGCTTGAAGCTCCACAGTAGTTGTGCCCACAATAAATGTTATAAATCTGAAAAGGCAGCAAGCATTATTGAAAAGCCAAGTCAGGCAAACACTGGTTTTACACATGTGCATAGGGGGTCACACAGATTGGTATGATTTTAACAGTTTGCATGCACTATGCACCTTGTTGATTTTACATCAAGTGCCATGTTGGCTATCACATCAGGATTGTAGAATCTGAATAATTTGGTACATGAAGTCTAATTTGTTTTAATTTACCTATACATATTCATCCTCTGTCTTCTTTTGGTTTATTTAAAAATGTTTAATTCTCCTATCTTATAACACACTGCATGTGTTTTCAGGAATGTTATCACTGACTATAGTTTGTCTATCCTAAGGTTGTAATTGTTTCCTGTTTTTGTTATTGGGTTCATTGTCTTGTTTCACATTGTTGTGTCTTGTATTGTTTTGTTTTCTGTTTGTTCTTGTTCTTAGGACCCCCTTGAAAACGAGATCATTCATCTCAAGGGCTTTCATCCTGAGATAATTACATTTTACAAATCTACAGTTCAGAGTTAGGTATAGTGAGGATTTAATAACATTGTAGTATATGATTCTAACATGACAATCAGACTAAATTTCAATTCATCCAGCCTGGCTTTGTGTCCATAATAGCCCATTTCTTGTGAAAGGGGTTCTTTCATTTTGTTTTGTCCTAACCAATCAGTAGCAAGTGAAGTACTATCTGTACTATCTGAAAGTCAGGTTACAACCACTTCTACAGCCGTGTCGAGCTCCCTCACACCTTTTAACACTATTTTTCATTGACTGGGATAAGGTAGCTAGCTAAGTAGGAAGATGACAATGCCATTCTTTGAGCAGGGATTCAGTCTGAAAACAGCGCAGGAGGGGTTCAATGATGGGGGCTGTGTTGCTTAGGTACCAAAGAGACAACAAAATATGATCCATGAAGTGTAGGTGGACTAACAGATCAATGCGTTTAAAGTTATCGTGGTGGCAAATACTTTATCTTTCGTCACGACAATAGTGATGTAAAAAGTAGAAACACAGCGTTCACATTACAAAGTAATCCACCAGGAATGTGCGCTTTCATGTATGGGATTGGCCAACGTCGTGCCTCGCTGCCTTGTGCAGAAAAAGTTTAGCCTTATTCAACTTAATAGAACAGTGTTAACGACCTCAAGGTACCCAATAACAAGAAATCCATGTGGCTAAAGTTGTCAAAACGTCGATTATAACATACAAACAGTGAAACTACAGGAGAAATCCATCGATACCTGAACACATCCACCTCATGAGGGGCTAAACAAGGTCTGTGTTTTCCCCTGTACATGTATATTTGTGGCAGAGAGGAGGAGAGACCTTATTTTAGCAATGTCAACAAACTGTTTAATGTTACACGTCTGCTCAAAGCTATACAGTTCTTTTTAAAACACTCAACTGATGTGAGTTTGTTCATGGGTTTTTTTTTATGGTAAGATAACGATCTGATTCTGCTGTTCTCTCAATTCTAACTAGTTGATTATTAACCTCAATCAGTCAATCACACATCACAGATGACATCCAGGGAAGTGTAGATTTCCATATTTGGAAACGTTTCTCATCTGTAAAAATTAAAGTGGAGAAACAGCAGGGAAGTTACTGACGATTTCTGGAGACAATGACAAGGCCACCACTGAGTTAACAGACATTTAGTTACAAATTCCCGTTTTTACTGTAGCTTTAATAGTAAATAGATTAGTCTCAGGGTTCTTGTATAACCTTCCTTAAGCCTGCTCAAAATGAAATTTTAAACAAAACACATTTTTAAAGACTAGCCTGTGTGTGTGTTTGTCCTGTGTTTGTAGGCTCTTTTCTTTTTTTTCTTCACTGGACTGTAGATATTTTCATCACTGCTCCCCTGCTGAAAGCAATCAATCAGCATCTTGTCTTAGGCTTCAGTGACGCAGGTAAAGGAACTGAGCAGGTCAACACAAGGGAATATTTCAGGCTTGATTTGTGAAGAGGCAGCATCATGTTGAACGAGCAAGCGCTCAAACTGAGGCTGCTGTGAAGGTTCCTGATGTCCTCACTGAATGTACTGAGTGTTATTCCAGATGGACAGGAACAAGTGAATGCAAGGAAATATTCAGTGCGGGGATGGTTTGTGAGGAAATACTAAAGTGTAGACAAGTATTATGTTTAATGCAAAGTAAAAAATGTCTTGGTTGGTTGGATGGTTCATTACTGACCTTTTAGAAAAAGCAGTTTGAGAGAAGCAGAGTTAGCTAACAGCTATTCACAGAGGATGATGGCAATGTCATTATGCCAGTATTGGGTCATAAACTAAAGCATTGAAAATGTTGTTTTGTTTTGTTTTCTAATTTTGACCTGATGATGGCACAATATGAGCAGTCACCAAAGTTATTACAGTTCATCCTGAGGGGAACACGAATGTCTGTACCAAGTTTCATTGCAATCCACCCAATAGTTGAGGCCTGTCACATAAAACTACACACAACACATAAACATCATGGTGACGATAGAAGAAAAGTCAGAGGATCATCAAAGTCATTCATTCTTCATATCTATGCCAAAATAAATGGTAATAATAATATTAAATAGTTAAACACTGCAGACACCAATGACCCACAGGCCGACACTGCTATGGTTTGGCTATAAAAATACAATTCAGACAATTCAAATGTCAGTTGGATTTTATTTACCTTCATAACTTTTAGTTTTACCTGATACATGTTCTCTTCACTGAAAGAGAATGGTACAGCTTGATTGTGAGGTAAAGATAAGTGGTCTGCTTCACCATTGGCTCTTAATCTTAATCTCACTGGCATGTCACATGTCCTGTGATTCAATCTGCAAAGCTTTAGACTTTCTCTGTTTGAGCTTTGGGAAAGTCGTATTCAGTGTTAAGTTGATCCTGTAAGATGCCAGAATAACAAAAAATTGCATGATGTCAATGTTGTGGGGTGCCTGACTATAAATAGCTCAGATCTCTTAAGCAATTATGAGCCCACACTTGGACCTCAGCACATACACCACTGAAACTTGTCCTTTTTAATAATATAAGACCTTACATAAGGCATTTATATCTCCAACTCTGTGTCTAAGCCACATAAAGAAATTAATAATTTAGAAATGTTATGTAACTGTTTTGCATATTTTTAAATCCTTCAGTGGCTTAGAAAAACATGTAGAAGAGGGCGCAGTGAATAGTAAAAGGTATGTTCATCACCTGCATGTGGGCGTACACACACACTTCAGAATTTTAATTTCCGATAATTAAAAGGTAGAAGTAATTTGTTTAAAAAATTCCTTTATAATTGAAATGGAGTTGATTGCAAGCGTTTTGTTAGCATGATAGAGCTTTCAGTATTGTATAGTAGCTAGCCATTACAAGACTTACTGTGGACACTTCAAATATAATTCAGATGTTAAGTTGTATAAGTACTCATTTTCACCTTTTCCCATTTATGGACATTAACTTGACAGGGTTGACAACACTGCTGAGTATAAATGCTTAACATAAATGCTTCTCATAGCTGCATTCAAATAAAGCCATGACGTCCCGCTCAGTCTGGAGCTAAACTCTTGCCTAACTTGCTGCTCTAAACTCTCTTTTGCCAGTTACTACGCTGGCAGCGCCACAAAAATGTGTCCTGTCTGCAGTTAGGCTAAGAAGGTGCACTACATATACAAGCTCCCTTTTTTTATATTCTATAGTTTTCTGCAGCCTTAATTAGTGTAACATTTATTGAAAAGCTTGTGAAAATGTCATGTGGTATACTTAGTACTTTGCAATATTTTGAATAATTTAT